AACGAACAGCACATCTGCAACAAGCATTAACCCTGATAGCTTCCACCCAATTCTCCTCTGCCCGCTCATAGTCTTACTCATGCTTGACAGTGACAAACACATGCTGCATGTAAATGTGTGGGCAATGCGTGCAACAGAGGCACGGTGAATCTTAGTAGTAAAGGACTGACTCACATCTCTGTCCTCTTGATAAGTAAGACCTGCATTCAGACAAGTACAAAGTGTTGATGTGAAGCGTGTCTGGCATTTGTAGAAGGAGAAAATGCAGAAAACAACAGACACCATAATTTACTAAGAGAGACATACCAGCAATCAGATACACCCAAAGTATGACTCACTCTTAATTCACGGATGTGGATACCGTATGCACTACTTTTTCAAGCATTTGGCCTCAATTAAATTAAATTGGTATTCAGTTTATGTCTGTCGGCATCAAACAGCAGTTTCCTTCTTTTCAATAGTTGAATGTTTATTTGTTAGATTGGTTGAGCAATTAATGTCAGGGTTTGAACACCAGAGCTGGCCTTTACTGTTCACAGACAATCAATCCATAAAGGATTTTGGGGAACTTTTATTGCTTCAGAGCCACTTCAAAGCAAACTGTTGACTTTAAAATTGGAGGCAGGGTGAAAGTGCCACAATATTTCCCTTGTTGCTGCAATGCATGGTGGTCCTGCCCTGGAGCAGAATGGGAGCACTCTGATTCAATTCACATGTCACCATTCATATTTCATAAACACTGAGGAGTACGCATAAACATACGAGCAGCGTCTCTCACACACAGACGGGCAAGGCGCAAATGTACACTGAGGAAAGTTGTCTTGCCAGTTTGGTTGATTTTATACAGAGAGGCTTTTCAAAAAGTTGTCTGAATTCATGCAATGTACAGCACAGCACTGTATTTTCCCCACAGTGATCCAAATGCAGCTGTTTTTTCCACATATTCAAATCCCGTTTTTTTAGCTTTGGTCCTGAATGAAATGTGTCTGATATTTCTGTGTGGGAATAAACCACAAACCAGTGAACTACAAAAAAAACAGCCATAAGTACCTTTATTTTGTCTGCTAACAGCGACACACAGACAGAACTAGAGTACATCAAAAAAGCTTTTCAAGCCTGGCTTTTCAATCTTAAACTTTTCTTCATAAATACACTTATGTCACTCTGCCAAACATGACGGATAACAATACACAGGAGGATAAATGGGTACTTCCACATGTGTGTAAGCTTTTTCTTCCTGCAGAGCTCATGTGCAAAAACATGTCTAAAATTCACCTGAAAGCACATCAACACATGCACACAACACACATGCATTCACAAGCAGACAGCCACACCTGCGCAAACACCTGTAGGTTATGTGACGGTTACCATGATGATGGATGAGAAAACACATGAGGCCAGATGGTCACTTCCACATATCAATCCAGAGGCGTAACCCATTCCCCCTCTTCACCATCTGTGACTGCAGAGCGCTGGCCTGGACTGTATTTCCCATTACCAACCCTATAACTAAGAAATATGCCTTGAGAGCTGAATCACAGGAAGCAAAGTAAGCCAAAATGCAGGCCACATAGCATCTTTGATAGCGGTTTTCTAGCCACCTGAGCTTGGATGATACATTGTGGTTTCTGGCATTACAGACACAGAGAAACAGAGTCTGCAAAAGAGAAAATGTATTGCCATCGACACTCAATGTGAAACACGTACCTACTTAGGACTCCCCTGAAGGTTAGCAGCACTCAGTTGGAGAGATGTGAGGAAAAAAACGTGTAACAGAATATATTCGTCTTTTCACTTCTCTATGAACATGTGCTAAAAGTGGTTACAGGTTTGATCTCATATGCGTAAAGGTGTGCACGGTGGGTTTTATGCAATAATGTTTGCACTCAGCAGACACAGCTATAGGCCAACCATAACACACCTGAATTCTTAGTCATAATAGGTCTACACTTCTTCTCTCCTTCCCTTCTCCCAGTTTGTTCATTTGTGGCTTAAAGAGACTCCCTCTCGCTGTGTGGTATCATACACAATGCAACATGAGCTCTCTGACAGAATCTCCAAACCACGCACAAAGAGAATAACATTCGTGTGTCTTTTTGTAGTTTTGTTACCTGGCCACTCAAGTTATATATCGTGTGATCGCTGATGTATAGCAAGGAATCAAGGACTGATACCTGCAGTCAAATTCTGACTGATGTCTCTGTAGTCAGTGTGTGCCGTAGGGACAAACTTTACTGGCCATATGATAGCCACCTGTGTAAACGGTTGGAGTATCTAGTGGCTCTGAAACACTGGATCCTTAGAGTGCTGCTTCTGTTGCCGCTGGAGACGAGGGAGCTGACCTCTCTTTAGCAGAGGGGAGCCCAGCAGGCAGTCTATGGTAGACATACTCTAACATACACACAGTTTCATGCATAAATGCATGTACACATACTTAAGTTTATCTTGCTTTTAATATCTTTATTTCTTTTTTTTTCTTACTCTCTGACACTGTAACCCTGCAGCTCAGCGCACATAATTATTAGACACTTTCGTGGGCATAAACAGTGTGTATGTTTGAGGGCAGGAGGAGTGTCTGTCGCTGCGGGTCAAAACAGGAGGTGAGGGAGGCTTCTGGTGAACAGGATCGGATATTGACACAGCATTAACATGAATGAAAATATTTTTTTGTGTTCAGAGAGCATGAAAGGAACGCAGCCAGACGTTTGGACTTGGCTTATTCAAACAAACGCTTGACATCAGCACTCAATCAAACAGTCATTACACACACACACCAGCTTCCTAAAACAGCAGCTAAAGGAAGGTGACTTTTAGTGATGTGACAGGCAGCTGGTCAGATTTTATGAATGCTACCATCTTTGAAATTTGACGCATTCACAGAACTGAGATAGTGCAGAGCAAATATCTCTGCAGTGCAGCACATGCTGAATAAATATTCTAGCTATTGTTGGAATCCCAGGGACACACATAAGAGGACAGAATTTCAATGGAGGTGGAAAGAAAGTGGGTGTGTAGCTGCTGAGTAGAAGTGCTGCATGGCTGGGTCCTTGGTACAAGATACCAGCATAGTCAGAATCATACTAATGGAAACATCAAGGGCGGAGAGTACAACACAAATCAAGAAAAGGGGAGGAAAACAAGGACAGAGGGATGGTTAAAAGGAGTGGGGAGGTGGGGAGGTGGGGATTGAGCTGCTGTTCTTGCTGTTGCAGTTTCTGGTCTGAGGCAGACTTCTGACGGATTACTGCCATTAGAAGGAGAGACCCATTCAGTCACTCTGAGGCCAATGTGAGTAAGTGGAAGCTGCGCCCACTGGCCTATGTGCATTAGCCTCCTTAAATGGCTATCAATCTGAGGTAGTGGCTTTCATCAGGATGCACGGCTAAAATATGCTCTTAGGTTCAAACTGATTTAATTGTGTGTCACAGTCAGTCAGATAGTGTCAGCTCCAGGGGGAACAGTTGTCTCACCCTCAACAACAGATGAGGGTCTATAATTGCACCAGGCAATGGAGTAACAGTGGTAGTGTATGTTATGTGACTACCACAAACATAAAGTCCTTCTGTTCTGGAAGGGAACAGGTGCAATGTGGGAGTTGGAGTCATCAGATCTCGGGGGGGGGGGGGGGGGGGGGGGGGGGG